AAATGTGCAACATTTAGGTTTGCTACCTCTCGGATTTCTTCGAAAAAATTGCCTAAATTGTAAAAGTGGAGGGCGTGCTCGAGTGAAATATGATCAGATGCCAAACTTTCCCCAAATGGTCTATTTATACTTTCGTTTTCAGGCAAGGGTAAATCTAAACGAAAAATCAGACAAAAGCACCGGGAAATGACGAGGAACAAATCCACGGTTTTGGTGACTTGGTCTTGCGGATTATTTGGCTATTTCAGAGACAGTTCACAAAACGTTGTACATGTTCCGAAACAGTCTGGAAATTGCGATTCAGCTACAACTTGATCATCTTCAGTTGTTTTCTGAAGTTTGGATTCGAGAACGCCGAGTTCCTCGGACTTGTGCAGGTGGCGCACTGTCGTTGCATATGAAACTAAGTTGCAGTACCGGCCAACTCACTTGATTCAGAAACATTCAATACGTCTTCCGTGTAGTAACTTGGGATCTTCGTGAAATTCAGTTGAGAGAAGCGAAATTCATCTGAGGACGTGAATTTTGAAGTTTCATGGAACTCCTGTAGGAGGAGCTGTCTGGCTCAACTCCAGAACTGCATCAATGATCAGATTGGATGTATGGCAAAAAGTGAACTGGGTCCATTCCTCTGCAACCATATCCTGACCCCATACAGTACTAAACATGTGCTTTCGAACATTCCCTCAATGAGATGCTTTAAGAATCTGGAGATTGATTTTGATCGTACGATTTCGGATTTTCCAACTCACGCTGGAGGTATTCACTTCCAGATATGAATCCCTGAAACGATCAGATAACTGCGCGATCGAGATCCAATCTTGTTATTGAGAAAATCACAAAGATTCCAATATTTCAGTTGCTGTCGCACATATATCTTTGTCAGCATCCGATGACGAGGAGGATAATCAGCATCAAATCTACTCATGAACTATGTCATAAGAAATTACGTCATAAATGGACATCTGAATTTACGATCATTCCTTGTCAGTAACATTTCTCTCATTTTAATCCCCTTCACATTATCAATAAGTACTTATCGAGAGGTTTCAGATACTGGTGGGCGAAATAGATAAACCGGCGGAATAGATCAGAAATGTTGTCAACCAATCGGACAGGAAACCAGTAAGACGGTACTCAAAACCAAGTGATGTTGAAATTTTCAGTGGTCATTTATACACGACAATTGCTGCTATCTTATTGCTTTGTCTTTAGAATCTAGTTCTAGTACTTACAGTCAGATTTAAAACTTGCATTATTATAAAGAAAACATCTCAGATTAATCTCAAACCAGTGAAAGAAAAATTTGAACCAGAAGTCGAAATTGCAGGTTTGAGCTGAAATACATGGTTCGAGTAATATCGCATTGTTATGCCACAATTCTGGACAATCGAATAGCAGACCAGAATATGACTTCTGAACTGTAATGAAGCTGGTCCGTGGAAGCTGGTCCGTGGATTTTATATGAGATGTACATGCCCGAGATGAAATTCATGTATGATCTCAAGTTAGGTGCAACAACTATAACGTTACGTGTATATTTAGGAAGAACTTCTGAAAAGCTTTCTTTGATATTTACATTTGAGGTACTTAGCGGCCAGTTTTCTCTTAGAATGTCCCTAACTCTCTCGCATAAGCTTATGGTTATTCATGCGGAAAGCGATGAATCAAACCAATGGCTTAGCTTCCTAGCTTCGATTAGTTCATCTGTATGCTTGGAATATGGACTCTTGCAGCATTCGTCTTGAACTTGCCTTCTATAGAATTATATAATTCCCTTCATCCTGTATTCAAGCTACAATCAGTACGAACCACAGAATCAGTGAGTGTTCTAGTCTTCCAGCTTAAAGGATAAAAGACCCTTGACGATACATGTAGAATCGTTACACAAAACTGAAAAAGAAAGGCGAAATGGACACTCGGAAGACAGCTTGGCATATGATTATCCTTTACGATAATGAAAAATAAGCTACATTTATCAAAGACAACCGGGAGTCAACCTAACTCTACCCTAAACCGACGTTTCTTCCGTGCTCCAATTCGGATGCAGTTGCAATTCCCAGCAAGAAGTTCACGACATTAGCTTCGCCTGAACAATACCTCCCTTAAACTGTAAAGGCTTTCGAGATAGTCTACGGGAAGGGTTTCTGAAGAGCGCAATAGTCCTGACCCTGTCATAAGATGTGTATGTTTCCATTATCCACTTTCTCAGATCTGTGACCATGTGTAGGATGAAATCAGTGTCGATGATTTGCTGCAAAAAGTGGTGAACAATAAGTGGTGATGGGTGACTTCCTGCCACTTACTGAAGTGGGCAGTGCTGAAGTGCTGGGCAGTCCTCGAAGTGCATAGTGGAAACTAAAAACCTCTCTCGTATCTTCATCACATTTTCGTGTTTTGACATTCTGAGAGTCCATGGCGGACCAGATTATTCTGTTAAATTCGCAAAGCTAAAGTGAATGAACCTGAATACAGAGAAAGCATGCTAAGTTGGTGGTGCTCAGATGACAGAGTATTCACCTGTTCAAACCTCACCACATCATCAATCTTGCCAGCAGAAACAGGTCTGCTGCCGTTTCTGCAAATCTGCACCATCTTGTTAGGCAAGCCCATTCCAAGGAATTGCCGAGCTTGAGCGAGCAGAATGTCTCAAAATGTGTACTAAGGAATAATTTCCCGTACCCGATCTCGGCGTGGGCATGTGTAAGAACTTATGGATCTCTACTACTGCAGCCTAGAGATCAATGCTTTTTTTATAAACTCCTTGCGCATAGAATTTACCACAGACATATCAACTCGTCTAGGGACATTATAGAGGAATGAGCTGGTTGAGAAAGCAAATGTCGAAATCTGGTGCAGGAGACATCGCCTCTGTTGCAGATCGGGAGCCGAAATTCATATTCCGAATCCAACTCTACAAGGTGAAATTCTGTTAAGAGGTACGTGAATGGATAGCAATTGAAAGTAATGGAGGGAGGAATTGAGGATGCGGGCAATTCGCCCGCAGATGAAGAACAGATCCAGATCCAGGAGAGCTCGTTGCGTGCGCACGTACTAGTTGTCCCTTTGAGTATAATCTCGGTTTCGCAAGTCACCTCGGCCGTGTTGCTGTCAGCCAAGCTCGCCAAGCAAGACATCACTGTCACCATCTTCACGGCCCGATACATGCTGCCACACATACACTCGCTTCATTCGCCCGAAGCGCTGCAAAGTCTCGACATTCGGTTGGCCATTATGGACCACGATGAGTCGGAACGTGAGTTCCATGAATACTGAAGCAGACCATGTAAGTACTCGTACGCCGTGATGCGAGCCGCAGATCCTTACTTTCAAAATATGGCCTCTGCCCTATCCTCAGGAGCTGCCGGCCTACCCACATACGTCGTAGCAGACATGTTCTGTCTTGGGCTCAGGTACATATGACGATCTACACTCTTCCCCATGCGTGTTTTCCTTCTCACCCTATTTCGCCAGACGTAGAGATTGCTCAAATTTGTCATCTGCTCGGATTTTTCTGATTTCTAGGCCGAAACAGTTTTGGGAAAGTCTTCTTTATTGTAGATGTTTCTGTGTTTGTCACGAACCTTCTTTAGCTAGTGCTCAGATTCTATTCGATGCCATCTCGATAAAATCAGAATCACATCAAAATTTGGAAGAAAAAGAGAATCCGCACTTGTGTATGAGAGAATTTCGTTTCGATCGTCAGATTTAACACAGGGAAGGAGAATTGGGCTAGTGATCATACCATCTCAACACAATACACATCAAAATTGGGAAAAAAATATAATATCTGACACGGGAGGAATGTTCATTGTACAGAAACTTTCACATGAACAGAATCTACCATGTTACGCGTATTTCCCTAGTGGTGCAAATTTCGCTCGTCTTCTTCAAGCGTTTCCGGCTCTCATTTCGGAAGGAGGGTTGGGAGTGGGAGAGAATGGCAAATTCATCAAAAGCAAACACACTGTCTCAGTGACCGCGAAAGCGGGACTGGATTTGTCGAAAGTAAACGGTGTGATCTTCAACACCTTCTACGAATTGGAAAGTCATGCCATTGAAGCCTTCTTGCAGGCTTGCGATCCTACGTTGCATGTATGTCGTCTGCCTCTGTTCCCTCGAGCTTTTATCTAGAGTAGCGACAACGAATTATGTGCTCTCACAGGTTTGTACTACTTTGTTTACTTGGAAAATCAACATTGAGAAACTGACGCTCCAACTCTTACTGGTATGATTAACAAGCCTAAACTTCTCCTCTATTAACCTTCTAACTACTTCTAATCATAACTTTTTCCAGAAACCATTTTACAACAATTAGAATGTACAGCTTTTAAGATCGCATGCCAACATTATCCAGAGACAGAGAAACACAGAGATCCAGAGACAGAGAGAGTGACCAATCTTGTCTTTGGAAAGGTCATGCTGCTGTCATGTGGGAAAGTGCAGGTTCGTAACGTGAGCTTTCATGCGGAAACTCCCTTGGGTTATAGAGTTTTCGATAGAAAATTCAAAACTTTGGGATATGATCGTTTGGTTCATAGTTTTGACCACTTTAGATGCTATCAATAAAAGTAATATGCCGGTAAGAACCTCAAGCGGCTGCAAGCGGTGATAAGATGTTTCTCTAGTTCCAAACGCAGTCTACATAAAAAACTCTACCAATTGAAACATTACGAAAGAGTTTGGGGTCCAACTATGGTGGGAAGATTAAACTTCTGATTCATTTTATCAATACTTTAGCATAATTATTTAGAGTACATTATACATAAAAAAGAAATCCTTACGGATATCTTGATTTTATCATGCGTAGTGCGAATCCAGCTCGGCATTTTGTTCATGACTTCAAGTCCAAGAAACCACAAATCGCTTCAGTGTGCTGCCAAGGCACATAGCATGTGGGAGCTTATTAATCAGACTACTCATACATCACATTCATGTGAAACCGACGGTTTTTTCATATTTCAATACTGTAGGTCTCACTGTCATAAGATACAATGGCATTTTTTGTGAACAGATACCCAACATATTCTGGTCACTTGTTGCTCTGTACTTTGTGTCGACTCACTACTAGCCCTATCTGTAGCTAAGTGTAGACGTCCTTCTTTGATCTACTATCAACCTGGCCAAAGGACCTCAGGCATCAGTGAGATGTAACTTACGTATATTCTAGCTATATCTTATCGGATTTACACTAACAAAATCGTTCACCCCGTTGATCCTGACCCGTCACAGCTCAAAGCTGACAGAATGGTAATGGAATGCCACATTCGAATTGTTCGAGTTTGTATGATTCTTGCACTCGGTTGCAACATCTTCCTGCATCTTGGACGCACCGGAAACCAGCACACCCACATTCTTCCCCTCGTACTGTCTCGCCATATCAGCGAATAATACTGGAAAACCACGGATTTTGGGTCAGATGTTAATTAATAAGTGCCAGTCTCAACATTCAAAACCGCAGTCTGAAAGAAAGTTGAACGAAATTTGAACTGGCTTTAGTATTACCTTTCCAATCAGGCCTCTTGCCCAAAGACACCTCTCCTTCCCATGAAGTATGCTCGGATGCTCTAAGCTCGATGTCACCCTCGCTTGACTTCGAATGTTTATCAGGAGAAGGCGGTAGGGAGTTGGCCAGGACCTGAGCTTTTAACCGAGGAGTTTGCTTCCTCTGAAAATGAGCCCACAACATTAACACTGGACCTCCGCAACCAACCACCGACAGAAACAGTACGACGCAATAAAGCAGTGCCCTGTTGTAGTTCGTTAGCTTGGCATATGAACCGGTGACGTTGATGATTCCGAAAATCACAATGTATCCAATCATGGTTGCAAAGAATGTGGCTGCGACCCATTTGTTGTCCCCGGCGCCGGCCAAAATAGACATCTCTCTTACTGCTGCTAGTGGTGGCCCTGTGTACTGCTTAGAAGGCTCGTTCATGTAGGTGTAGTTGTAGTGCTGGTACGGTACAATGGCTTCGGAGGAACTGAGCTCTTCATCTTTGATGAGATCCACTTTCGAGGTCACAAATGCGTGAATTCTGATCTGTACAAGGTCCTCGTAATTGGGAAGAATTTCACTGGGATTTATTGTGTCCAGAAGACACAGATCCTTCTGATTACGCACACAGAAGATGAGGTGGATGGAGGTCGGGAGGTTCTCCTGCTGCAGCTTGTGCCGGTGGAGGACATCTTTAAGGATAGCAAGGAATGGGGTTACACCGATGCCTCCTGCTACGAGAATCAGGGAATTGTACCTGCAAAATGGAAAGTGGAAGATGAGTTGCGTGGCCTTGATTTTTATACGACACTGTTCAAATTTCGCCCAAGATGAAGAGAATCCAATTGCCACTCACTGGAGATAAAAATTGGACTCGTCGCCGTATGGTCCTTCCAATTGGAGCTTGAATCCGAAGGGACATTTCAGCTTTCCGGCCTCCTTGTGATGCTTGGTGTCTATGAGAGCATCGTGGACATCTTTGGTGTACGTTCCCAGGGGCTTGATGTATATACAGATCTGGTTGGTTCCGTCCAGAGGGCTGGATGCGACGCTGAATGGGTGCCATTCAAATTTGGAAATGCTCGGCGCTAGTACGTACATGAAACTCAAGGCATTGTATTCCAGATCTGTGGAGCAAACGCTTCAGGTATAAGATGCAAGAAACATGAAGTCATCATCAAAGTCAGAGCAATTGTCAACCGTAGCGCGAGCTCAGAAATGTACATGGCAGTAAAGCTCAGGCCGAATTGACTCACTTGAACTATGACTATCACTTACTTCCTGGCTTGGCAAATTTAAGCTCGATGGCACCGGATGGGAGAACTTTAGTGGACAAAATGTCGACAGGTTTTCGGGACTGCACCAGGCGGATAAATCGATCCAGGAAGAAGAGCAAGATAGGAGTGACGACGTAGACCATCTGAGAGACGCAGTGGAACAGGAAGAAAAGGAGAAAGACCAAGTAAAGGTGGTGCGTGAGGAAAAATAAGTTGAAATGGTTTCTGCGGACTTTCTCCAGAGCGGTAACCAGCATCACCAGCCCCGCCGCAAGTGCGATGATTCCCGGAAAGAAAGCAATTCCCTTGTGTTGCCATCTCCACAGCTGCAGCCGGGTACGTGTGCAGTTCAAGGTTTAGTACTTGACCCTTCAGTGCACATAGCACATAACTAATTCTGCCTACATTGTATCTGTCTCGAAAATATCCTCAGTAAATTTGCAGGGAGTTCAGAATTGATGCGTTGGGATTTTGAGGATGAATTCAGCTTCTTACCTCAGACGTATGGTGGATCGAGGGGAAGTACGCAAAGAATACTAGTCCGTGAGCAACGAGGATCCAAACGCACATCAGGCCCAGCCAGGTATGGTATTTGACAGCACGCTCGAAGGGAACACCGGTAACGCGCAGAAATGGCGATCCTCTTGAAACTGGAATCCACAGAAGAGCGAATGGAATCAGCGCCGCCTTGCCCAGGTACACTCCAATGTTCTCCAATTTCTGCGCACCCCTGGACATAGCAACGCACAGGTGCAGGTCAGCGATATGCATCTTAAGCTTTCCAAATATGCATATTAAAAAGCTTTGTCAAGGAGAAGATGCAAAACCTTCAAGTATATACAACGTACTTGCTGTGATCTCCCTTTTTGGGTTTTGCGTTGTCAATAGTCTTACTTCTGTCCACTGACATTTTTATGAAGTAGAACGCTATGACAAAGACGTTGACTAGGAGGAACACGATGTCCGCAAGTGTGAGCATCCCCAGCGGGCTTTTCAAGATGATGGGTTGAGACCAGATACTGACTTTTGGCTTCTGATCTGCCGACACATTCCTGAAGCAGATAATAGCAGAGAATGTCAGAATTTGCTAGTGCTGATGTCTTCTTTCTGATTATTCTGACTATATTGGAGCTTCATCTTCGTGCAATCAGGATTGAGAAGATCACTTCAACTGATTCTCATGTTAACGCGGAATTCACACGAAAAGCAAGAAATTCGAGTTCAGTCAAAGTTCAATCGGGGCCCCACAAGGGATTGACTTACCTTGCTGAAGGTTTGATTCTATTCTTGAGTACTATGGCAAAGTAGCTGAGGAAAGCGATGACCATGAAGGGCAAGACTTGCAGAATCCATGTGGAACCTTAAGTGTGAAAAATGAGCAGAACGATGTAAAGACACAGTCAGTACAACAATTAAAATCCATGAAATGTACGAAATCTATAACATTTATTCTCATATAAAAAATTATGCGAGCAAACGGAGCCAACTCACCTCTTGTTCCAAGAAAGTCCTGCGAGATGTGCTCGTCTGCCTTCCGCAGCCAGTTCCTTGCGGTCTGAATGGGCTGAAGGAACCAGAACATCCACCACCATATGAAGGCAAGGCCCATCAGCACTTGAAGTGCCAAGCTGACCTGGGATGCTCCTTTCACGTATGTCGTCATTGCAGCACTTAATTCTAAAAGAGGATCGACCTCTGGACCTGGCTCGAACTCAGAGGAAACTCAAACTGCAGACCTGCTCAATTCGATGTCCGAAAATATCAGTTGCAAAGGAATGTCGGTTCTGAATGAGTTGTGGACATTCGTTTAGATGGCGTTCAGATTAAACTTCAGAACTCAGAGTTGTGCTTGAACTTGTATCGCACTTACTGGTTCGTCATGAATCACCCGAGCAGTGGCGAGTAGAGATGATCTAGCATGCTCTTCTGGAGAAGGAAATTGTTAGACACTGCGAGCCTAAACAATACCCTATGGTGAGAATAAAACTGAAGATCCCGAGCCACAAACTGCTGTTGAATGCTAGCTCGCAACGCTTTTATACCGAAACATAGAGTGGCCATTGTTACGGCGTTCGGGCCGTAGCTGCTTTGGCGGCGCAGCCACAGGGAAGCAACAACAAGTGGATACATTCTTCCTGCGCTAGTCACTTGGTTGACCATGAGGTTCAATCGACTTTATTCGTTACGTCATGTCATACTTCTGCAAAATCTCGCATTCGACGCACTGCGGCTCGTGTCAGAGCGAGGCAGGCATGGGTAGAGCTCGTGGAGCATCATCTCTGGTGGTCTCTTTGTTGTCTTGGACGTGACAAACCAATGAGCTCCCTCCAGCGCGTCGCACAGAGCTTCACATGTTTTTTCTATATTTGCTGTTGGCTCAAGCTTGAATGCCACGGACAAGTTTAACAATGTTGTGGACAACTTGCTCATCCTCGTTTCATCTTCTCGACCTGCAGAAGTGAGAGGAAGCGTCGATTTTTTTCCATATGGGACAGTATACATTTTTTATTGATAATGAGATGCATTTGTATCATGGTCTGGTACTAAATGTAATTCGATTAACTTCCAGGCAATTATAAATGTTAAATATAAGTAGACTATTTGATCCTTTAGAAAATTCGAGTAGTACAATGTCATCTCCAATGGTGAATCATTATTAGTTTAATATTAAATACATGATAGACGAAGCTAGAAACTTACGTCTACAATATGTATGTTCAAGATTGACCAGTCTATGACGTAGAATACGACAAATGCCAATAGTTCATTTACTCACTTACTGAATTTCATCACCTTGTCTTATTCAATTGATTTGTTGAGTTTACTCTTGTTTGCATTTGGTAAGTGAGTTTTTGTTGTGTATCTCAAAATCCAGAAATATTTTTTTTCTCAGCTAGAGGATTAAAATATAAAATTTTCGAACTCATATGATTGCACTTAACAACACTTGATTGAGAGAGACCTGACATTCATAAACGCTTATAGGGAGAAAAAGTTGAAGACTGATCATCAAAACGATGGGTATTTGAAGGCGGATTCTAGTAGTAGATTTGTTATCAATTAAAGGAATATGGACGTGATAAAAGAGCAATTAAAACGAGTTAGACATCAAAATTGATTGTCAAGTTCTTTAACCTACACAAGAAGCACAAAAAATACTCTAGATATTGAATTCCTATGGATATATATATTTATGATCTCTATGATTTATCCAAAGATTTGTTGGATTTGTTGGTGTTGAATACAATCAGCTGGAATTCATCGTAGTTCGTTGACACCTCATCTTTCTACATTTCCTCCCCTTAGCTTTTTGACCTACTTCCAATCATAAATTCTGTAACTCTTTACTAATACTCGAAACACTTAACACTGGATGGATATAAATATTAGATCTCCACAGACTGCTCTCATTTTAACCACGCTGCACTCAAGTCCCGTGGGTGTGTAATAACCCACTAAAGGCTAAAACTGCAATATAGTGGTAGAAAGGTCGAACCCACAGGGACAGAGGAACACACAGGGTACAAAGTGTCACATTTAACAGACTATTGAGTAGTTTGAATTCTCAGGCGACTGTCACTCCCAAAAATACTGCAAGTGTCCACTCGGAGCGCACTCGAAGGTCGCACAGTGCAGCGTAATACACACACACACACACACACCTGAAACTACAGAAACACAACCCAGAGATCCGTTAGGACCTCTACTCAAGATTTCAGGGGAAAAGTCTCTCCAGAGTACACTCAGCGAAGCTGCGGGTAGTGACTTCCAACTCCGGCTTTTACAACGCTTCCACTAGCTTGCTGCTAGCGTAGGAAACCCGGTTTGGACTGCCTACTTCGGATCGAAGTCACTCATACGCGGTGAACAACACTCTCCACTCACAAAACGCGCAGAGAACACAGGTCCGCACTAAAGGACTCACTGAGAAACATTCCAATAACACAACAACAGTCTATTGAGGAGTTTGAATTCTCAGGCACTTGTCATTCCCAGAAATACTACAGGGGTTACCCTGAAGGCACCTGCTGCAGCGTAACCTGAATTTACAACCAAGGTTTACACGAAGTAGCAAAACTTCACTTTGGCATTCAGGGGAAAAATCCTGAAGGAGTACAATCAGGAACAATCACTCGAAGGTGTAGGGGCGAAACTATTCAAGTATCTAACTAGTCACTGGCTCTTAGCATCGGCAATCACCCGCAGGTGTAGATCCGAACTACTCAAGTCTCTAACCAATGTACTAGCTCTGAACATTCGGCCGGAGGCCTTCAGCTACAAAATGCGGAACGCCAAGTTGTAGCTCCTCTTGCATGGTGACAGAACTAAGGACATAAACACGCAGAGAAAATGAGTTCCTGATCTGCACTTCCCAAACTGGAAAAATCCCAAGGCAAGACGCCTTGAACTACTTTATACCTTCTAAGTCCTAACTAGCATTACACTGCACTACGCCATGGTGCGAGCCGCAACAGATCCCACACCTGAGGAGTCGGCGGCTGCCTTCCCCTCTAACTTACAACCTAAATCTAACCCTAACCCTAAATCTGAATCCTAAGCCTACTGTACAGAGCCGCCAACGCCTTTCCATCCAAGATGTGAGGCTGAAAATTTGCAGGCATGCGTGGCCGGCCGAGAGCAACGGCCCCACAAAATTTCAAATCCATCCGACCGCAAAGATATGGGCCCCGCAAGATCTCTGAACCTAGGCCAAAATTCCTTCTCCAAAATCCGAGGACTGTGGGTCCCACGCGACCTACACGCAAGCCGCCTACTCGCGGGCCGCCTTGAGCCGAAGGCCCCTCTAACTGTTAACGCCGAAGGCCTCACGCCTAACCATGACAGCCGCTTTCGACGCTCATAACTCATTGATGACTGATCCGTTTCAAGAGATCTTGGTCTCGTTCGAACCAACTCGTCGAGTTCTTTCCAACGAGACCCAAATCAAGTCAAACCGCTAAGAATTGAAAAAGATATGCCGGTTTTACTACTTCGCCGAAGGCCTGCAACCGCCGAAGGCGTCCGTCCGCGCATCGGACAAAAGTTGATCTCCCTTCCGCGTAGGCGGAATTCCCGCCGGAGGCGAACTCCTTCCGCCGAAGGCGAACGTCTACGTATCTTCCGATAGTCATAACTCCCTAAGTCCTCATCCGTTTCAAGCTTTCTTGGGCTCGTTGGAACGAGCGTGTCGAGCTCTTTCCAACGAGACCCTAACTAACGCAAACCGTTAAGAATTGAAAACGTTATCACGGTTTTTCCCTTCCGCCGAAGGCGTTTGCCTGTGCACAGGCCACCTACGCGCAAGCCGCCTACGCGTAGGCCGCCGAAAGACTCCCATATCAGAAACTTCCGCCGCTCCTAACTCGGTGCTGCCTTATCCCTTTCAAGAGTTCTTGGTCTTGTTGGAACGCGCGTCGCAAGCTCTTTCCAACAAGACACTAACTAAGTCAAACCGTTAAGAATTGAGAAAGTAATGACGATTTTACTCTTCCGCCGAAGGCCTGCAACCGCCGAAGGCGTCCGTCCGCGCACCAGACAAAAGTTGATCTCCCTTCCGCGTAGGCGGAATTCCCGCCGGAGTCGAACTCATTCCGCCGAAGGCGAACGTCTATGTATCTTCCGATAGTCATTACTCCCTAAGTCCTCATCCATTGTTGGCGTTCTTGGGCTCGTTGGAATAAACGCGTCGAGCTCTTTCCAACAAGACCCTAACCAAGTCGAGGCGTTGCGAATTGAGAAAGTTATGAGGGATTCACTCTTCCGCCGAATGCACTCTCCCGCATCGCCGAAGGCGTTGACCCGAAGGCGTCTACCGCCAAAGGCGCATCTTCCGGCGGTTCTTCCGCCGAAGGCGTACCGCCAAAGTCGCTCTACCGCCGAAGGCCCCCCATCAGTAACTTCCGACACTCATAACTCAGTGACC